ACATAGGGGAGGTGGGACATTGCTTGTCTCCATAATGCTAACAATCTCCTACTTGGAGACAAACAATGAAATTATCTTTTATCCTTGAAGGCCAACTGAAGTTTTACATAACTTCAGTTTATCAAGTGTAACTCCTTTGGTTAACATGTCAGTTGGATTCTTGCTTCCACAGACCTTTTCTAGCATCAGTTGCTCATCGTCTAGCAATTGTCGGATGAAGTGATATTTGATCTGGATATGCTTATTCCTGGAGTGAAATGCTGGATTCTTCGTAAGGAAGATTGCACTTTGACTGTCACTATACAAAGTACCCTTTCCATTCATCTTGCCCAATTCTTTTAGGAAAATCTGTAGCCATACTATCTCTTTTGCAGATTCTGAGACTGCAACATATTCAGCTTCTGTCGTTGAAAGAGTGACTATCTTTTGTAAGGTAGAACTTCAAGAGACAATAGTGCCTCCTAGAGTATATATATATATCCTATAATACTCTTTCTGTTATCAACATCTCCTGCTATATCAGCATCTACAAAACCTTCAAGTTTCAAACCACCAACTGTGAAAGTAAGACATGTCTCCGATGAACCTTTTAAGTACCTCATAATCCATTTCACTGTCTCCCAATGCTGCTTTCCAGGATTGCTCATATATCAGCTTACAACTCTCACTGCATGGGCAACGTCTGGTCTAGTACAGACCATAGCATACATCAAAGAGCCGATAGTTGAGGCGTATGGAATCTTATCCATGTATCCACATTCTAGCTTAGTTTTTGGTGACTGGTCTCTACTAAGCTTGAAATGATTCTCTAGAGGTGTACTTACTAGCTTAGCATTATCCATACTAAATCTGCTGAGAACCTTCTTAACATACTCTGTTTGTGAAAGCTTTAGTATGCCTTTGTCTTTATCTCTGATGATTCTCATGCCAAGTATTTGTTTAGCAGCTCCCAGATCCTTCATTTCAAACTGTTTTGACAACTGTTGCTTTAGCTTGTCAATTTCTTCCATGCTGGATCCTGCGATTAACATATCATCCACATATAGCAGTAATGATATAGGAGTTGTCAAAATGTTTGACATAGCAATAATGATCAGCCAGACATTTTGTGTATCCCAAACTGCACATGAAGTTGTCAAACTTCTTGTACCACTGTCTTGGAGTTTGCTTCAAACCATATAGGCTTTTCTTTAGCTTGCAAAATTGATTCTCCTTTCCTTGTATTGCAAACCTCTCTGGTTGTTGCATGTAAATGTCTTCCTTCAATTCACCATAAAGAAATGCTGTTTTTACATCTAATTGTTCAAGATGTAAATTTTCTGCAGCTACTATCCCCATTCCCAGAACAACTCTGATAGTTGTAAGCTTCACAACTGGAGAAAATATCTTAGAGTAGTCAATCCCTTTCTTTTGTTGAAATCTTTTTACAACAAGTCTTGCCTTGAACTGTTTGCTTCCGTCATGTAAACCCACTTGTTTTGCAAAGCCTTCTTTCCTTTAGGGAGTGTGGTTAGCTCCCAAGTCTTGTTCTTCAACAACGACTCTATCTCGTCCTTCATGGCTAACTCCCACTTGCTTGAGTTTCCATTTTATAAGGATTCTTCATAACTTAGCGACTCATCACTATATGTCAACAAAATAAAATTTAGTTGAAGTGTGAACCGTTGTGGAGGCTTTATAGTCCTTGAAGACCTGCAAATATAAACAGCTGATTCACTTAGCTTTGCATCTTCTTGTGTAGTAGTGGGTACAAATATGCTTGAATCTTCTTGTAAAGACTTTTGAGTTTTGTTCTATTTGGTAATATCGGGAAGCCCTTCTAATCTGATGAATTTAGATTTTTATGGACTTATGTCTGAATCAGCCATATCTATTTCTACATTTGATCTGTCTTTGTACAAAACTTTCTCGTTGAAGATCATGTTCCTGCTTCTGATAATCTTCTTGTTCTGATCATCCCAGAACTAAAATCTAAATTCTTCATCTCCATAGCCGATGAAGAAACATTTCTTGGATTTGACATCTAACTTATTGCGAGCATCAGAATCTATATGCACATAAGAGACACACCCAAAGACCTTTAAATGAAAAAGTTGTACTTCTTTTCCTCTCCATACTTCCTCGGGCAGTCTGAACTCTAAAGGAACTGATGGTCTACGGTTGATCAAATAAACTGCAGTATGAACTGTATCAGTCCAAAATGTTTAAGGTAACCCAGAATGCAACCTCATGCTTCTAGCTTGTTCATTGATGGTCTTATTCATCTGTTCAACAATGCCATTCTGTTGTGGTGTGCTTGGAACTGTATTTTCCATTCTGATACCATTGACAGCGCAATACTCTTTGAAACCTCCATCAATGTATTCTTCTATATTGTCAGATCGTAAGCATTTCAACTTCAGACCTGATTCAGTCTCAACCATAGCCTTCCATTTTTTGAATGTTTCAAACACATCAGATTTATTTTTCAAAAAGTAGACCCATACCTTCCTACTGAAGTCATCAATAAAATTCACATAATACCAAGAACCTCCAAGAGATGCTACTAGAGTTGGTCCCCATAAATTTGTGTGCATCAGTTCTAGCTTTCTTGGTCTTAAGGTCCTGCCAACCTTTAAGAAAGCTTCTTTTGTTTTCCGAGAACACAACTTTCACAAATGTTTAGATCAACATTTTTTTTTAACTCTGACAGCTTTTCCTTTGACTGATCTTCATCCCTTTTTGACTCATATGGCCGACTCTACAGTGCCATAGCTGTGCCTAATTTTCTGCTTCAGTAAAGGCAATTATGTCTGCTGATCTTGTGGTCATATACAAGGTTCCA